TGATGATGATGATGATGATGATGATGATGATGATGATGATGATGATGGGAGTAGTATTTTTTCAAGAAAAAATACATTAAACAACTGAATTAAATTGATGTGGAACTAGGAAAAAACAAGGAATTAGATAAGCTGGTTATTTTTAGTTATTTTTAATTTATTTTTTTTCCTTTTTTGTTCCCAAGTCCTGTGCTGTTACCCATGACATAATCATCTAGTTAAATATTTTCTTTTTCTGACTCCTAAGGTGCCTTTTGCCCCATCCTCATTGTTTGTACCAGACCTGATGAAACTGTCTTCTTCACTTACCTTACCAGCCACTTACATCACCTTGCAGCTGTCTACATAGACCTTTTTCCAAGCTTGAGGCTTAATGTAGACTTGGAACTTCCAAGGGCAGCGGTACCAGGTGTCCAAAATCAGAGACTACCTCAAAGTTTTATCTTTTGAGCACTGTAAACTCATGGTAAAAAATTATATGTATTGTGTTTAAGTGTAAATAACCCCCCTGTGATTTCTTTAGTCGTGGGCTTAGGGGTTTTTTTGGTAAGGAGGAGGGGGTGTCAAAGGTTTTTCTTGAGGTTAGTCTTTTTAGTGTCTTCATCTTTGTTTTAGTCAAGATAACATTTGAATTTAAAATTTTTCTAGAATAAGCCTATTTGAAGTGTGTGCTATTTCCTCAATTATTTTCAAACATTGCCTCAATTTTATTTTTATAGCTGGAGTACAGCTCATGTATGTTTTATTCTCACATTGTGCACAGATGCTTGTATTTCTACTCTTTTCCTTGATGATTTAGGAATGCATTAGAAACAAAAGAATCGATCTCACTGTTGAATAGTTTTCAAAGTCAAGAAAATACTGTGCATAATTTCCTTAAAGGAGTCATAGTGAAGTAATGTTTTTGTTTTCTGTTTTTCTAATGCAGTAGAAATCAAAGATGGAAGAGAAAATCAAATTTGGTATTTGAAAATATCAAAACTAGCATTGGCTTTTGCAATTATCCACTCGAAACCACCAGGGAAGAGTTCCAAAGAATATACTGAGCATCTTGCCAAAACTCTGTCTGAACAAGATTTTGGATGGAAGTGGAAAGTTGAAGTGCTGGAAGCTGAAGTTCTTCGATTAAGACAAGAACTTCTTTTGAACCGGATCTGTCCAAGATTCTGCTTGGTAAATAGTAAGTTTCTTAAATAATTTCTGACTATGTTTCAGTAGCAGGGAGCCAAAGAGCTTTCATGTTGCCTGTAGCAGTTCTTTTACCTAGATATGACAGTCTTCAATGTACAGCTTTCTGTTTTTTTCCAAAGCTCTGAAGTAGTGGAACACTTAATTGATTTGTAATGGGATTGTGCTTGAGAATTTGGTCCTTAAGCAAAATTTACATATTTAACCTTCAGAATCAATATGTATTATACAGAATAATTGCAGCAAAAATTGTCAGTACAAAATGTTACTCTACAACCTTGGAGATACTAGTTTGTAAGAATATTGATGTACCCTATTTATATTTGGAACATGTCTTAAAGACATCTTGCATATTTTTTAATGACTTTACAGATGTTTAAAATCTGAATTTAAGCCTAATGTGTTGGAAGTGCTAATCCCTAATATGTATAACAGGAAGGTTGGGCAGGCAAAAAGACTGTATGTCTGCTGATTCTCTTAATGTATTGAGACTCTGGATGGGTGGATGGGTTTTTTTATGGCATATGATAAAATATTGTGAGTCTGATATTGTAGGACTCAGGAAGGAGGCTGTTAGTTAAAGAAGATGAAAAAAAAAAGAAAACTAAACCAGATGGGTTCAAACAGCACTGTTTCTCTAACTCGTGCATGTGGAATGAGTCATGCTTACTCCGAGAGATCAATGGCACAGAGTGAGCTTGGAAATCAGGCAGTGGAGAATGTCTCCAGGTTCTGGGAAGATGTTTCCCTGGGAGAAGGAAGTCAAAATGCTCTGGGCTGAAAGAGAGAGTTTGCTGTGGAGGGGATCACTAAAATCAAGATGAATAGTTGATTTATGACTCGAGATTTTTAGAAGTTTCCCTCATAGAAAACTTGATGAGGCTTTACCACACTGCTTTTGTACTGAAACAGTAGCTTCTTTATTGCCTTGTGAGATTTCTAGTTTCTGACTTTTACTGGTGGGGGGATGCATTATTAGACTTTAGCTAGAAGCTCTAATGATTTATTTATTTAATTTTTATAATAGGCTTTTCTCTCTAGAGAAGTGATTTAATGACTGTGCATGCTTACTTATTGTTTATGTGTCAGTTCTCTGCAACCTGTTCCAAACATGAAGTCTAAAAGTAACTTTTAGAGAGATTTCAGGAGATATTTGTTAACATCTAATGTCTGATGAGGATATTCTAATTGTGGATTAAGCAGAACATAGTAAACACTAATCAATTAGCAAAACATAGCAAATAAGACCAATTCATCTGCAACTACTGTGTTCTAAGTCTGGCTTTTGAAAGATTCTTTAAATTTTAGTTGTGAGAAGGGAAGAGAAAAGCAACCATCCCAGGCAGATAACAGCCCTTGCAAAGGTGGTTAATTTTCATTGCCCTGGTCACAGTGAAGTTTGTTCACAGATATAAAATGTGTTAAATCTTTTGTAATTTTAGATGTCTACAGCTACACTAAATTTTCTGCGCTTTCTTTACCTGTTCAGGGAAATAACAAGCTTACTCTGCAGTTTAGGGTTCACTTGACCCATTGCAATATTCACTAATATGGATGTGGGGAATTGTCTGGAAAATTCAGTCTGCATTCTGCTAGTAGTAGTCTGACAGGCTTAGAAAAAGTGCTATGATTCCCAAATCACTTAAGTAAGCTGCTCTTCATGGATAGCTTTTTTAAGTTTTCAGTGTCTCAACATATCTGACCAAGTCTAGTTTTTTAGTGAAGCCAAACTTTAATTTCGTTCTATTTTTAGCTAATGGACTCATAAATAGTAGAGATGAGTATCTGTTGTCCATAATCCTTCTATATTTCTTGATTTCTCTGGAGTTCAAAACCAGCACCCGACTGGTTTGAAGGATTAGTGTGTAGCTGCTTTTTCCTTGAAATGTTTATTTTTGTGACTACAGTGTTTATAAACCTGTTAGACAGAAAACCTCTTGACGTATGAAATACCTGTGGGAGTTCACATCAACCCCAGCTGTATCACACACTGTCCGAGAAAAGTAGGGCATAGTCTTCCCCTTCGGTTTCTCTTAACCACTTGAGTGTAAGAGCACGAAAATATGTGGAAAATCTGAACTGAATAGATTTCTTCATGCACGTTTTCCTTAGCATTGAAAGGACACTTTCAAATTCTTGGAGTGTAACTTTTGAGATGGCCATTTTTTTTATGATATTTTGTTCTTTTGACTCTTTGGGGTTTTTTCTCCTTTAATTTTGGTATGGCATGTGATCTCTTTTGATAATGGATTTGAGCCACGTGTTATTTTGGAAAGAGGATGTTCGCCATCAGATGTAACTGCTTAGTGGGCATTCATGATTACAGTGACATTGGAGACAAATACCCGGTCTCTTGCTTTCTGAGTAAAGTAAAATTGTTACTGATACCAGATGGGCTATCTGTTGGTGAGATCTATGCATTCCTCTGGTGATCGAGTTGGTGATATATATTAATAGTAGAGCACCTGTGGTTTATATATAAAGGAAGATGGTCGTAGGAGCAAAGCCCTCCTGAAATAGGGGCCACTACACCACTGACATCTTCTGCTGCAGGGAAAACAAAAAAATCCTTTCTTGTGTGTTGTGCCAGTTTTGAGATTTTTTTTCAAGCTCATGGAGATTAGAAGCTAGAGGTGGTTAGTGCTGAGATATGGAGGCACCAGGAGCTTGAATCTAAGTTGAGAAAAAAGGTGGTATAAGTGCTGTTTCATCCTATTCACTTGAAAGCTACTGTGGATCCATCAAGCCATTTGTACAGTTTTTTGTTGATGGTATATGTAGCCCGAGTCTACCACCTGATATCACACCAGAGACCTGCTCTTTAGGGATGAGGATAGCTAGACTTGTTCTGAGTACCAAATAATCTGCTGATATCATGGATCCTTTATCTCCTCTACTCATTTCTCCAGCCTCATTTTTGGAGTTGGTGTTCTGCTTAAAATAATGCAGCCTCTTAAAATGGTTTCAAACCCTCAGCTTTTATGTGGCTTTCTTGCGTTTTGTTTAACAACCCTGTAGATAAAAGAATGCCTGGGTTTCACAAAATCCACCAACAGAAAATCTCATGCAGTAAGGATAACATATTGTGTTTGTTTCTGCTCGTCCCTCTTTAGAATTGAAGAGTTTGAGTCCTTCAGCCAAGGTTTGCTTTGCAGCTGTATCTTCCCTGCTCTGCATTCTGAGTGTGAAAGCTTTCCTCTCCCACCTGCTGTTTGTAATAATAATAGTAGGTCTTTTCAGAGGCTTCAGGAATGATTAGAGACTGCCCACGGAGTTTTATTTCCCTGATGTGAGAAATTTGTGAGCCCTTTGAAGCTGTGATACCTGTTTTCCCTCTCCACATAAAGTTGCACACAGCATGGATGTGCAAACACATGAAGGAGAAAGAACAAAGAATGCATTTTTTTAAAGATATGTTGTCTAAATTATTTTTGTCCCATCTGAACAGTTCTTCGTTCTCAGAGACCCTTAAAAAGGTGCCTAACTTAGGGGGAGGAGCATGCTTTGCTGCAGGTAAACTGTTCGGTGGTGTGAGCTGTTACAGTTTAACGTGTTTATAAAATTGCTGTAGTGTATGTTCAATGACTGTGCTGTGTCTGCAAGTTCCTGTTCCGTTGCCTTTCTGAATACAAGGACTCTATTCCTTGATGGTGCTTTTGGCTGTATGTCAATCATCATCATCTGAGGAGGAGAAGCAAATCTTTTTGTAATTGTCTGTTCATTATTTTTCACCTTGATGATATTGTCCTGACAACTATGCCCATAAGTAGAAAAAAAGTCAAATTTCATATTAAATCAAAGTTTCCTGCCTTTCTTTGATTCAGATTGAAATTTCACAGTAAGGAGGATAGAAACTTCTTGGTGTTATTCCAAGAATAAGGATATAAAGTATTTGAGCCTTCTGTTGTCACTTTGCTTTGGGAGCTACATGAAAAGATAAAGGGTCTTACAAAGCACTGATAAATTGATAGATTCATGGATTGAAGCATCTGTCCTCTAAGACAAATTCCTTCACTGTTATCAGCTCATAAAATCAATGATCATATTGTTTCTTGGCAGGCTCTTTTAAAGAGCTCTGAAAAGCCTGCAGCTGTTACTCCAACTTAAGAAGGCATAAATGCAGTACTCTACACTTTTTTTTTGCCAAGCACATATTTTAAGAATGACAATTTAAAGGGTAGATATTTACTGCCTTGGTTGGTTTCAGCTGATGCTCTTGAAGGGTTCCAAATCAATTATCCAGGGTATACGTTTAACAAAACTTGTATCAAGTGTGTGTTCTCCCTTCCTTAGCTTCACCTTCAATCTTGGTTCATGTTATTCCCCTCTTATGCAGTGGGTAGACATAAAATGTCTGAACTGCTTGCTCCTCTAATTGAAATAAAAATCAGATTCTTTCCACACTGTCCCTTTCTAGAATTAGTTTAGTCTTCCTTTTATAGATAATTTACAGTAGAACTTCATCTGCCATGCCCTGAAGTCCCCTTCTGTTCTCAGCCTCAACAATAGCGTGTGGCTGCCAGTCCACCCTACTGTAGCGTGTGTTTAGGGAAACTTTGAACTCTGAGTCAGAATGTGATTAATGTGAATGTCTGATATTTAACTGTACCCTGAGGCTGTGTTTGACCTTGCAGGATATTCTATTTCCTGTGTCAAAGAAGCAACTTGTATCTCTTTTGGGAATAAGAGCCAGGAAAAAAAAATATTGTATCTCCTACTTCATTCCTTAACTTGGTGTGTTTCTTGAGGCATTTAGTTGTATACGTGGAAAAAGGGAGCAACTTCTTTTGCAGATTAGTATGAATGAAGACACTTCAGTCTCCTTTTTTCTTACTTCAGGCTTCTCAGACTTCCTGTGTAAGTAGAAGCATACAGAACTGGAACCAGCCCACTCAACAGCTGAAGTAAAACTGATTATAAACAATACCCAACTCCAATTTACCAGCAGCCTTGGTTTGGGTCATAGAATTCAGCCTTCCCTTCCCTTTCTGT